GAGGGGTAGCAGACACTATGCACTGGATTAAAAGAATGAAACCAGGGGTGGGATTCTACCGGTTCGGGCCAGTTTGGGCGAACCAGATGTTAATTGTACATCCAGTTCGGTGAACCGGTAGTTCAGAAGACCACCCCTCCCCGCCCCTCCCAGAAGTCGCCATGCACCTGGTTCTGGCTCCCAGGTAAGTGTAGGGAGGCTTGCAAAGCCGGAAATGGGGCGGGGGGGCACAGGGGGTGCAGAAGGGGCACCCCCCCTTGCCGTTTTGGGTCTTCTAAAGCTCCAGGGAGAGACAAAATAATCACCTCAGGAGACCCAAAATGGTGGGGGGGGAGGGCATGCCAGCAGGGGGGATGGGGGTCCCCCTGTGCTCTCCCCCAGAATGCCGTTTTGGGTCTCCTGAGGCTTCAGGGAGGCTTGTTGTTCTAAAAACGGCCCCTTTTTGCTTTGGGGGGTGCAGGAGGAGTACTGCCTGTTACACATTCCTGGCCACATCCACCCAGCTGGTGATTAGGGCAGAGAACGGGCTGTTCAATTAGGTGATTAGTTTGCCTCTCTCACTCAAGGGCTGCCTGCTCTCCCTCCCATCAGCTGGCATGTAAGAGCTTCATTCAGTTTGTTTCTGCCCTCAAACAGTAAGGCTGATACATGCAAATTGCAAAGGTTCTCCGGCAGCTGGGCTTGCATTTGGCTTGCAACAACTGAGTTCCAGGTCTTTCCTCCTCCTCCTCCTTCTGCTATGCCTGATTCTGCCTCATCCTCATCCTGCTTCCTGTTTCTCCTGCTACCTCTTCTTCCTTCCTCCTCTCCTTCCAGCATTGCAACTGGGCTTGCATTCCCTTCCTGTTCATGTTTGCAAGACAAACGCAGCAGCCCAACTTGCAACCAAGTGCTTTCCCAAAGCTTTGTTGGAGGGAAACAAGGTATGTGTGTGTGTGGGAATGACACCTTAAGTGCTGGGTCTCCAAGGGAACCCCTCTCTCGTTTGCACCAAGACTGCTGACGAGTCTCTCTCTCTCTCTCTGTGCCTCTCCCCTTACCCCTCCTTCTCTCTTTTGAATGGTTTTGTCAGTACTTCCTCAACTTGCTGGATCTTCGGTTTGTTTTGCTGGAAGGATGAGTAAGAATTGTCTCTTCTCCCCTTCCCCCTTTCTTCCCACTTTCTTAGAAAAAAAGTCACAGGTCTAATCTGGAAGAGAATCACTGTGCTGAACCATTGAAAAGTGCAGGTGGTGGTTATTTACCCTCTTTCTGCTTTCCCGGGTCTTTGATTGGGGTTTCCTCTGGAGCAAAAGCAGACAGCTTCTTCTAGTGAAGATTTCTCTGTGTCTTCTAATTTTCTTCCAGAGCAGAACAAAAAAGCCTCTTCCTGTGAAGGCTTTTCCAGTTCTTTATTCTGATTTTCTCCAGGAGCAAAATAAAGCCCTTTCTAGTGAGGTCTTCCCTACGTGTTTATTCTGATTTTCCTCTGGACTGGAGCAATATCATCTGGTGGCAGGCTTTAAGTAACAATCCCACACTTATTTTACTCCATGTGCGGCCCACCCACTATTTAATTTACCACTTCTGTTTGTGCTTCTTTCCCAAACTGTATACTTTTCTCTCTCCCTCCACCCTTCTCTCTCTCTCTCTCTCCATCACACACACACACACACACACACACACTCAGGTCCATGGTAAAATTATCTTCTATGAAACCAGTCCCTGGTGCCAGAAAGATTGGGGACCTCTGAATTAGACCATGCAGGAGAGCCCTTTAAAGGATTATGTATTAATAGAAAAACAACTAACTTAGCTCTGATCCTAAACTAGAGGTGCCCAAACTTGGCAACTTTAAGACTTGTGTACTTCAACTCCCAGAATTCTCCAAGCAGCAGAGCTGGCTGAGGAATTCTGGGAGTTGAAATCCACAAGTCTTAAAGTTACCAAGTTTGGAGACCTCTATCCTAAATGCTAAAACTGTTGCATATAAAAAAACAGAGGAACTCTGATTAACTATCACAAGCCACATTTTGGATCTGAGTGGACGTCCTGGGAAAGGTGTCAGAATAACACTTAGAAGGAATCTTGGGGGGAACCCTATACCATTTCAGAGAAATGGCTGTCCAGTCTTTTCTTTAAAACCCCCAGTGTTGGAGCACCCAGAACTTCTGGAGACAAGTAGGTCTACTGGTTAATTGTTCTCACTGTCAGGAAGTTTCTTCTTAGTTTTAGATTGCTTCTCTCTTTGTTCAGTTTCCATCCATTGCTTCTTGTTTTGCCTTCTGCTTCTTTGGAAAATACATTGCCCCCCTTCTTTCTGGCAGCCCCTTTAAAAGCCTGTTGCCCTCTTGGGCAAAGCATTTCCTCCTTTCAGTGGTCCATGAAAGTATATCTATAGTATGTAGATAAAGTCAAAAAAGGTGAACAACATTTTTACAGAACTATAGATAAGTTGAGGCTAGGTATGACAAGGAATGGCTGGGAGGGAAGTGGCCAGGTGAGGCACCCCTTGATGTGAGTGACATTGAGTTGGCCACGCCCAGCCAGTCATGTGACCACCAAGCCATGCCCAGCCCATCATGTGACCAACAAGCCATGCCCTATGCATAAGAAAATTATTCCCAAATTATGATGAATGAACCATTGCATTAAATCAACCCATTCTATATCTTCAGGGTTTATGATATCACTATCTTTTAGATTTACTGTATTCAATTCAAGTTGATCTGATTCAATGCCCCAATATATAGTTTATATGGAAGTAAACCTTTGCACATTTCCACAATCACAGTGTCCCACTATTCCTCACAGTTGTGTATCAGTTCACAATCACAACAACAACAACATTCAGTGATACAATTACAATCACAGAAGCAACACAATCTGTAGAGTGCGAAGTTGCACAGCTTCTTTTGGGATCTTCAGATGGAATAAGAGAGGCCAACACTCAGGCCAGAAAGACCAAAAAGTTGCTACTCCTGCAACAAGAAAAAGCACAAACAAAACCCATTCATACCACAATGACCACGTCCATTTTTGAGCATCTTTATTCTCAGCGGGTCTTCTCCAGGAATCACTTTCTACCCTTTAAGTTCTTCCACTGGTCCTTTTACACATGTGTAGTGTTCCACCCTTTGTCTTTAGCTTGGACTGCTGTTTCAATGGTCCATATTTAGGTATAATCTATTCCAATATAATTTTGGTGACTACTGCTGCAGTGGCTCTCATGGCTGAATAAGCCTCAACCCATCCAGTCAAGCGACCCATTAGCACCAATAAATATGTAAGTGTCCCCACTTGAGGTAGTTTAATAAAATCAACTCATATTGAAATGAACTCACACTAAAATTACCCTCCCTTGTGTGTAAAACTTGTTTACTAACTCTTACATACTATGCATTTTTCACATATTTGTCACAATCCATAGCATCCATAACCTTCTACAAACAAGTCACATCATACCTTAGCCTCCCCAATGACTACCCTGATGTAGTACTTCCAAAATCAACATTTGCCTTCCATCAGGTATTATCCATTTACCTCCTCCACTTTCTACTGCTCACACTTTCTCTAACTTCTTCTCAGCTAACATTAAACATTCGGTTCCTTCTGCCATTGCCATCCTGGCTTCCAAGTCAGCTCAATTATTGCCTCAAGCATCAAAGGAATTCAAAACTTGATTTAAGGCATATACTTCACAAGTCTGTGTGACACTGAGCAATGCGGCTAGAGACATGATTTGAATGGAGGTGCATGTCAGAGTCCTGACACTGTACAGACCAACTTAACTTTCTAGTTTTTACCAAAAACTCCTTCTCTTACCTTCTACCACTTTCTCTTCCCATCTATAAATAAATTAACCCCTTCTCAGCACCAATATCTGATCATCCTGGCTCAATTCAAGCAAATATCAGTAGTTAATACTAAATCATTTTGTTCCATAAGCATACTCTCATATTTCAAAATCCTTGAATATGTCAGTGTCTAACATTTTAGACCAAAATGCCACTGACTATCTCTTTCCTCCCCACTTCTGAGTTAAAACCCTCAAAGCCATTCCTTTATGTGTGTAACACTAGGCTCTTTGCATATCAGTCTTTATTCAAAACAGCATAATTATCTATTCACAGCCTACACTATCCAGTCAATCCTAGAAATTTTCTCAACTCCTTCTTTGTTTCATGCAAGGGTTGAGTTACTATTCCTTCAATTCTTTCAAATGTTATTTTTCTACTTCTTTCGCGAATTAAATGTCCTAAGTATTTTAACTCTCTTTTTACATATTGTCATAGGATGGAGCACCTTGACTCCTAAGCATTCAAAATCAGTATGTCAGATTCAGATTCCATTCAAATGGAAGCAAACTCTCATTAAGTAGGTTAAAAACATGTATAAATCTAAGCAAAAGATTTCAGAGTATTTTTTTTCGTGTAAATTTAATTAAGCATTTTAAATCTCAAAAACTTCCAGGAAAAAAAAATCAAAATGTGTTCAGAAAAGAAAAATATATCTGCATACCTTTCTATATGTAGACCAAAAACAGTGCAAATTGCAAAACCATGTCACCTGTGAAAGAACATGGCAGTCTGTTTAAGAGATGTAAGGAAACTAGAATTATGTATCTGCCAGCCAGCCAGCTACTCTCTGCAGTGCTTCAAGCATTTAGATTCACCAGTTTCTTTATGTAGAGAATGGCGTAAATGAGTGAGTAAAGCAGCTTCTGACCCTGTCTTGTGCTTTGTTTTTTTCCTCCTCTTCTCAAAATATAGACATTTCAAAAATAGTTGCAGTGGTGGTTTCCTCAGAAAAACTGGTATTATTTATTTGTTTGTTTGTTTGTTTGTTTATTTATTTTCAGTAAGCCTATTGTAATCTTAGGAACTGACATTCTACAAACATTGAAAATAAAATTGCAATGTTTTCTGTTTATTTTGTTTTGACTTTTTCTTCAGAAATTATCTTTATGTCTCTGGTTACACATCCAACACTCTGACATGATTATTCATTGTTTTTAATAGAATTTGGATCAGATAATGAACCAGTGTTCTATAAGCCCAGTGTACTATTCCAGGGTTTACCACCTGAAGGCCTATGTCCAGCTGATGCTTGGAAATGATGAACTCAGCCAAAACTTTATTGAGAAGGGATTCTACAGTAGTGATATCTATGGGAATCGTTTGGAGAGATCCTGGCTAGAGATTAGCAAGGTATTACTTTAAAACTTATTACAAGTCAGAGATAGAACATTTTACAGCATATAAGCCTATCATTTACAATCTTTCAGAATATTAAATCTATATGTATGTGTGTGTGTGCGTGTGTATGTGAATAGATATAGATATATTCATTTTTTAAAAGAGGAAATTAGTCCTGTTTAAAAGTTTGATTGACAATTAGACTATATTTCAACTTGGAAGAAAACTTGGAGGTTTTCTAGTCCAATTCCCTACTCAAGCAGGGGACCCCATACCCAGGGTGTCAAACTCAATTTCATTGAGGGCCACATCAGGGTTGTGTTTGACCTTGGAGGGGGTGGCCAGGGCCCATGGCCAGCTCAACGTCACTCATGTCAGCTGTGGTGGCCTCAGTGCTCTGCCAATGAAAACAGGCTCCTAAACTCCATTTTCGGCTGTGATGGCCTCCTGCAACCCTCTGCCACAGCCTCCAGAGCTCCATTTTCACTGACAGAGGGTTACAGGAGGCTGTCTCAGCCAGAAACGGAGCTCAGAAGCCCATTTTTGCTAGCAGAGACACCATGGGCCGGTCCTTTACTCTTTCCAGGGTGGGTCCGTGGACCAGATCTAAGCAACCTGTGGGTTGGATCCTCCCTGTGGGCCTTGAGTTTGACACCCCAGGCCTATATCATTCCAGGGAAATGGCTGTCCAATCTCTTCTTAAAAATCTCCAATGTTGGAGCAACCACAGCTTCTGAAGGCAAGCTGTTCCACTGATTAATTGTTTTCATTGCCAGGAATTTTTCCTTAGTTCTAAGTGGATCTCTCTTTCTCTTTGATAAGTTTCTATCTGTTACTTCTTCTCTTGCCCTGAGGTATTTTGAAGAATAGGTTGCCCCACAGAATAGGTTAAAAATCCACTGACTGGCTGTCAATTATTGTGAACAACAATTGAGAAGGTGAAGTTTCATATTTTTGTAAGGCACCTCTTTATGCTCCTGTGAATTCTAGAGCCATCTACTGGCAGCTGGCTGAATTTTGACTGCATTTTTCTTTTGAAAAAATAATGTCACTTGTCTCCTATGCAAGGCAGGGCAGGGATCTCATGATAATGGAGCTGAGGGACGGAAACCCTTAGTATGGAGAAAAGGAAGACTATATCCTAGAATAAGGTGCAGTACATAGCATATTGGAAGGTAAATTAATAAGTGATTCCTCTCTGGAAATGAAACATTACCATACCACAAAACCTTCCATTCTGAATTAAATAAGTATAATTATTTGCTCCCTCGTCACTTTCTGATCAATTGTCCAACTTTTCATATTTCCTAGGAGTGGTGGTTCACTGGAAAAAAACTCATGGAAGATTTTTGGTTAAAGGCAGTTCCAGATTTCCCTGTATGGAATGTAAACATGACAGCCCAAGAGATGGGAGCTTTCCATAAAAACATGTACCTGCTGAAAGTGCCAGAACTGGATATAAACAATCAATTCCCAGAAAGTAGCATAGAAGAATAATAGTGAACTGATTGCAGGAAATGTTGTCTGAAACAAATTTTGATTTATTTGTTCTCTTGTACAAACTCCACCTTTTCCTGTGTTAAATCCAGAATGTAGCATTTGGTCTGAATGTTCTACGTTTTAAATTTCTTATAGAAAAATCCTTTTATATTCAGCACTTTATTCTTATAAACATCCTCTTAGTAGATAGTAATTAGAAAAGAAATGACAGGGTAGGGTGCACTATTGAGTTCTACTTTTTACAATGATTTTATTACATTATATTTTCTTGCATCTCTATTTGCAATAATTGAACTATTTCAGAAAACAGTTATGGTTGCCAGCAGGTTTGGAAAATTCATAGCCATTCTATAAAGGAATTCTGCTTTCAGAATAAGTCTAGGAAAACTAGAAAGAACGTTGCTTTGGATTTTCCTTCCCAAGCTACATAAATACAATATAGTTGCCAATATTGAAATATAAGGACAACTATGTAATTTGCATATGGGGAAGTTTTATGAAAAAATACCTTATTAAATCTCTACATCCAAATCTTCAGAAGTAAATAAAGTGCATTTAGGAACAGAAATGAATAGGACACACAAGGGAAAATATAACATATAAACATTTATAAATAAAATAAATGCAGGAGGCAGGAGGTCCTTGTGCCACTGGGCCTAGCTAAATTGTGTATATATCTGAAAAAAATACAGGTAGTCCTCAAATTATAACCACAACTGAGCCCAAAATTTCTGTTGTTCAGTAAGACATTTGTTAAGTGAATTTTGCTCCATTCTATGACCTTTCTTGCCTCAGTTGTTAAGTGAATCACTGCAGTTGATAAGTTAATAACCCAGTGAATCTAGCTTTCCCATTGAATGTGCTTGTCAGAAAAGTGATCACACGATTTTAGGACACAGCAATGGTCATAAGTATGAATCAATTGCCAAACATCTGAATTTTGATCAGATGTTCATGGGGATGCTAGAAAGGTCATAAGTACAAAAAATGGTCATGTCACTTTTTTTAGTACCATCAAAACTGTCATGCCCCTGTCGGAGTCTGAATCCAAGGAGGAAGATGAACAGCTGACAGGGAGTAGGAGTGTGGCTCCGTTGGCTGTGAAGGAAACTGGGGAAGGCCAAAGTCTGGCTGAGCAGAGCAGGGGAGAGAGATAGAAAAAGGGAGAGGGAGTTCAGAGGAAGACCCAGGCCCACCCCCTCATCATCCTAGGGCATGCAGGGAGGAATGGAGAAGAGAGCAACATGGGTTGCATGGCTTATGGGGGAGGAAAGGGCCCTGATTCCCTTCATTAGCCACAGCTGGGAAGAGAGTTTAAAATAAATGCATGCTGAGTGTGGCAGCTGCTAGGAGCAAAAGTGAGTTTATCTTGAGTTGACTTTGATTATCTGTGTTCCTGGTGTCTTCCCAATTGTGTTGAGTTATTGCCATGCCTTCATGTCTGGAATTCTTGCTCCTGCCCTGCTGGACTAATTACCTCATTTTGCCTTGATTGGACTTTTAGTTACAGTTTTTGTTGACCACATTTTGGGCTTGATTCTCTGCAGCCAAAGGCTATTCCTGGGAGAGTTTTTCTCCAGCCAGAAGGTAACCAGGACATTGGGGAGAAAGTTGGAGCTAAAAAAAGGGACTCCTACTGATTATCTGACTGTGTTGCCTTTATGCCATGCCCCAGGTCATCACAATAACTTTGAATGGTCATTAAACAAACTTTGTAAGTCAAGGCCTAATTGTACCTCATGTTCAGGTTGACTTCAGAGAGCTATGGTTATCTTCCTGCTTGGAGATTTATATGCCCTCCTGGTTCTTTTTTATTTTATTTTTGAAGATATGTTCTTACTTTTATAGAATTTGAGGGATTGTACTAATCAAGAACAATACTCTATCCCTGAGATCTTGACATACATTCCTAACTTTTCTATGTGGACTAACTAAGGAACAATCTGGTTTTTATAGTATAATTGTATACTATAAAGTTTGTGTAAATGGATAATATAGAAGAAACTTTTAAGCGAAAAGAGTTGAATTTTATTTTTTTAGCTTCACGTGGTATAAATTGGTGGCCCTTTTTGTTGATATCACTAAGCAGTTGGCATAAACCCTGTTTTGAACCATGTCTATGGAATCTGCAGTTTTTGAATTCCATTCAGAAAGAAATGGAGAGTTTACATAATTAATATCTTAAGTTCTGATTTTATAAAACAGGATCAAAATGGGGCTTGTTGGAAAGGCAACTGTGTAAAACAAGTAGTTTGCTTTGTGGGTGGTTCCTAAAAACAGTTATTTTTAGGTTATATAATTAACATTTTATATGTTCAAACCTTGTGTTGAAAGGACAGAAATGGTTTAATTTCTCTCTAATTTAAACTCTGTTATTTTAAAATTAACTCATTTGAAACTTATTAACTGGCACAATGGTGGTGGTGGGAGAAGGTTCACAAGAGAAGTATCTGGCCAATGTCTTCTAATGTGTGGCAGGTTTTCACTTGCCATGGTGCCTAATCAATGGAGGCCTTCCAGCAGCAGGAGGAAGGGAGAAGGCGAGGCTTCTTGGGAATGGGTTGGGGGAATCCCTATGCTGCTAGACATAGCTGGTTGATGCCTCCCAGCCCAAGGTCTGTGTATCTGGGAATTGCAGCACTCCTATAGTTATAAGGATAGTTGCTAAGCACCCAAATTTTGATCATGTGACTACAGGGATATTGCAGCAGTTGGATTTGGCAGTTCAAAACTCACCAGGTTCAAGTTTGACTCAGCTTTCTATCCTTTTGAGGTTGGTAAAATGAGGAGCCAGATATGCTAATTCTGTAAACCGCTTAGAGAGAGCTGTAAAGCACTGTAAAGTGGTATACAAGTCTAAGTGCTATTGCTATCCATCCCTTCATTCAGCCTAGTAGTAATTTTGAATGTTGAATGAATGTTTGTAAGTGGAGAACTATGTCTATTGTTATATATTAGAACTCCAATAAGAAAAAAAAACCAGGAGGGACTTTACTATCTGTAAGCCTCTAGCATTTGTTTTTATGGATATATCTCAAAATACTCTTAGAAGGAAATCTTGCCTCATTTCAAGCTGGGAATAAAATAAACAGGCAAGTGCTTGAACCTGAGGTAAGGTTTATTTCTGAGAGCACAACATCCAGTCAGCTGTCAGAGGTGAAGGCTTTTAGGTCAGCCATCAAGTTCCTGTTCCTGGCCAGCCTCAAGAAAGATTGTGTCAGCTGGATCTTCAGCTTGGGGTTTGACCTTGCTGTATGCTTCCTATTGGCTGCCATAGTAATGGGGGGAGGGGCATGGCATTTGGGTTGGGGAAGTGAGCCGGTGTGATGAACTGAAAGGGAGGTTTGCTCTCAAGAATTATTGCACTGCTGAGTGGAGTTGTTTACACCTTGTCAAGGCCAGCCAACCTAGGACTCCAAAGGGATGAAATACCTGAAAATGAGCTTCACACAACATCATACTGGATGTTGATTGGACCCTCAGTGCTGGACCCCGGGGGGAGGGATTAGGGGAAACTTTCAATATGTAACTTTATCATATTTTGAATCAGATCTTGCCTTGCTTTCGCTGCTATCATTTCATGGAGTAGGGGTTTTTTCTTTCTTCGGTTTTGAATGGAGGCAGGTCTGACATTAGCCAACCCAGAGACTCCAGTCTACTGAAGGGGTGAGCACACAATGTCGACCCATGGGAGCGACCAGGAAGAGTCCAGAGCCCTGGGGTTGACCTCCCCACAGCCTCATTGGTGCCATGAGGAAACAGAATGGCTAGAGGAGCTGCAACTTGAGATTCCAGTCTGAGTCAGGTTACTGGGCATAGGACGCATGGAAGACCCTGAGAAACATCCACCAGGGGTGACTGCCCTGCCAGAATCTGACAAAGAGGACCTCCTAGAGACCCATGCCCTGCAACTACTGCATGAAGCAATCAACAGTTGGAGAGCTCAGGAGGCCCTCACATAGAAGCATGCTCGGCTAGCGCACAGAGCCTGGCAACAGGGGAAGCCGCAGTCGCTGCAATCCCAGTGATGGCCCCTGTTGCTCCACAGGGGGCATTATTGGCAGCTGCTGCCCTGACAACAACTGCTACTGCAGCCCAGGACCTCCTGGTGGGGAGGGGGGCATCCCCCGGAGGCCCTGAATTCCTAAGGTTCTCTGCTGGGAGTAAAATACACAGGGGATCCCAAAGCCCTGGATTCCTTCTAGCCCAAGTCTGGAATCTTATGTAAGAGAATGGAGAAGACTTAGGATCAGAGGCAGCCAAAGTGAGAAGTGTCACCATAGCCCTGGAAGGGGCTGCATCAGACTGTTGGTCACTCTTCATAATGATAAGGCTCCCCAGCTAAGAGATTATGACCAGTTTATGATGATGCTTCGCCGGTGGTTTGAGGACCCCCTAGCTGAATGCAAGGCTAGGATCAGAATGAAAACCATCACCCGGGGAGGTCATTGGCAGAATACACCCAGGAGTTTTGTGAGCTGGACTGCCATATCACTGGCTGGCCCCCAGAAGTCCTGATGGAATGCTACAAAGATGGCCTTAATGATGAAATCTATCAATGCTGCTGTGGGGCACTCAAGAACTCCAGTGCTGGTATGTGTTGGCAGATGAGGTGGAAGTTGACCTGGCCAGAGACTGGCACTGTGGAAACTGCAGCTGGGGCAAGCCCTCCCCCTGCCCCTAAAGAAGCCCCGAAAGCTGCCAAAGTTTAGCCAGCACCCAAACTGATGTTCATGGCATGGTTCAAGTGCAGTAAGGAGGGGCACCAAGCAGTTGATTGCCTTGCCAAACCAAGCTCCAAGCCAGTAACCACTGGGGGCAGGAAGCCTGAGAAGCAGCCAGAGAAGAATCGTGAAGCAGTACTGAAGGGGGGGCGGAGGTTGTTGAGTTTGCTCCTCCTGCCCAGGAGGAGCTGAGAACTCTGACCCCACCAGAGGAGAGTGAGACTTATTCTGATGACAACACCCTTGTCAGTCATAAGCTTATTGACATTCAAGTGTCCAGTTCAGAGGTTGGTTGGGGTTGGGGTTGGTCCCCCTTTTTTAATAGCTCTGTATGTGGGAAGGCTACCTCAGCAAATGCAGGAATGAACTGCCAGTAAAATTTGCAAAGCTCAGGAAGCTTTGAAGTTGTTTCTGGGTGCAAGGAGGCTGCCAATATAGTACGGCTTTAACTTTGCCCAGGTCCATTTCAAGGTCATGGGCCCAGCCAGCCCTAAGAACACACAAAAAGACTGCATTGTAATTTAAGCTGAGAGAGACTACCAGTGTTTACAAGACAGAGATGGCTTTGCAGGATGGCTGAGAAAATTAAGGAGACCTCTCTACCTCATTTGGATCAGAAAAATTATATAATTTGGGCTGCAAAGATGGAAAAGCTAAAAAAACTGTGGGATATTGTGGAAAACCCACCCCAAGCACCATTAGCTGCTGCAGATCAGAGGCAGCATGATAAAGCAATGGCTTATGTCATCTTAAGTTTAGAAGATAAACAGTTTATCAATGTAGCTGATTTAAAGACTGCAAAAGAGGTCTGGCTGAAGTTAAGAAGTGTGCACATGAGTGTGTCTGCATGCAATATTGTATAATTATCAAGAAAGTTATACAGAGCCAGTCTGCAACCTGGAGAATCTCTGGAGCAGCATCTTGTTCACGTGCAAACTTTGTTTGTGGAGTTAGAACAGTGTGGAA